ACAATATGCAGCGTGCCTGCCATGGAGTGATTACTATACACGTGTTGTTAGGTGCAATAGAGCCAATCTCAACCCCCCATATGACAGGGTGGAACTGTCCCATAGGGTTTTGTAGTCTGTAATCTTTACAGGAGCAGATCCTGGACCTTTCTTCTGTGAAGCAGCTGGTGGGTTCAAATCATTGGCCCTTCACTTAGCAGCCAAATGTGTAACGCTTGCACCATGAGGGCTCCTTTGCACATGACTCAAAAAAATCCCACAAAACCCTCATTGCCATCAAGTCAGAGCCAACTCATATCTGAACCTCCAGCAGGTTTTCAAGGCTATAAATTGCACAGGAGGAGACTGCCAGTCGTTCTCCCTGGGAACCACTGGTAGACTGGAACCTTTGGAAAAGCATGAGCTTTGGGTTATCAGCATAGCTCCCTATGGATTAAGTCGGCAGAGCTCCTGTGATAACTGCTTAGTTATCCTTCCAATCTATCTTCAGTGTAAGGAAAGGGATAAAAGAATGGTACAGGAGGGGCACACGGAAATAATTTCTCCAGTCTTTCTCCCAGTCTCTCAAAGGCTGAGTCAGGAGGCTGCCCATGGAAGGGGTTTGGCCCAGGTGCCCTGCCCCCCTGTCAAGAAGAAGCCTCGTGCTCTCAGGGGCAAAAGGGAAGTGGAACCGAATGTCCCAGCTTGTGAAGGTAGGATGGTGACTTAACTGTCAACAGAACTTTCCCATCCTGGCCCTCAGCTCCTCCAGGGACCAAGGACCATTTACATGGGTTTGTGGGCAGTGAGAACTGGCTAGTTCAGCAGCTGGGGGGTAGGGGATGGAGGCAGCTTGCTTAGTTAGCTATACCATCCCTTTGCTGACATCAGACGTGGGCACAAGGGATCTGACTTGGACCATCCAGGAGAGTGGGCAGAGAGAACATTCGAATAGGACTGTCTCTACTGCTACTCGCTTTCTCTTTCAGCTTCTTATTGGCTAAGGTAAGAACATGCAGTCACCCCAGGTCCTTCTGAGCTGATTCCATCTGAGTTAAGGCCAGGTAATCAAGGCCCACCCAGAGATCCTGAGTGACAAGGCCCCCACAGACCCTCTCAGCACATGTGGTTAATGTCTCAGCCAAATGTTTGAGTAGCTGCTAAGGGGGATTTCCCCAGGCTGCCATTCCATCCTGGGATGCCTCTGCTCTTCAGCTCAGGCATTCTCCCACCCTTCAGCCCAGGCACCACTGTGACCACCTACTTGTCCTCTACATCCCACTGAAATATCACCACTGTGACACTTCAGGCAATCGCCCTCCCCACCTCCGGGCAAGTCCCCTGTTCTCAGAGCATATGATAACAAAGTTGGCTGTTATTTCCCTGTGGCCCAGACTGAGAAGCATTGTTCATCTTTGTCCTCCAGCCCCTAGCACACTGCCCAACACGTGGCAGGGAATGCTTTGCTAGCTGCAAATGACCGCCTGTTCGTGTACTCAGGGTATGCTGACCTGTTGTTATCAGCCAGAGACAACCAGCAAAGAATGGTAAACACCTTTCCCCCAAATCACACAGCCTGCACCCAGCTTTACCTCTGCCCTAGCTTTCTCAGGCTCTTCTCATTTTTGCCTTAAATGCCCTTGAGAATAAAGTGAGGGGTGTGTGTGTGTGTAAAGAAAAAGAAAATTAAAGTGTTGCATGCACATCAGAGAATGTCAGATGTCACAGCTTTCAGCTTTGCCTGGCTCCACATTATCCTGTTCCCTGAGAGTGTAAGGGGACAGAATTGTGCTCATTTTTCTAAAAAGTTGCTGTTATGGGGAAATACCCTGAACAGGCATTTAGGACCAACATGGAGATTGCCTCCAGAAAGGGAACTGGGGGCTTGGGAGAGTCCCCACAAAATATCCCTGCTTGCCCCAGCCATACAACCTGGTCAACCCAGGGTTAGGAATGAGGAGCGTTCCCCACGGCAGAATGCACATCATTCAGACTGGATACAAGACCCTCTACAGGCCAGCTCAGAGTAAAAGAAAACAAATATGCCATACCATTTCTCCCTTCCCTCTGCCCTCGACCAAGGGAAGCTGGCTTCATCCTGGTGTCTTGAAATACGTGGCAAAGTACTCTTTGTTGACACAAAGGCACACACACACACACACACACACACACACACACACACACACAGAGCCTTGTACAAATCACCTGCTCTCTCTGACCTGCTTCACTCTGCTAAGCCTACAGGCCTCAGACTGCAGTGCAGAGATCTGACCCTGAAGCCAGATGCCTGGATTCAAGTCCTGGCCAGTAATACTGGCCTAGAGACATTGCTTCTCTGAGTCATAGTTTTCTTACATTTCAAATGGGAATTGTCCATTCATAATGCTGTTGTGAGGAATATACAAAATATGTCAAGTGCTCAAAGCAGTGCCAGGCACGTAAGTCTCACAAAGTACTAGTTCTTATCACTATCGTCATAATGATCACAGCATTGCTTCTCATCTCTCAGATCTTAGGATTCTGTGCTTCTCCACACACTTGTGGACCACTGCAGCCTCCACACGAATGCCCTGACAGCTGTGTCCACAGATGGGCACACATGTAGACACAGCTGCACACCAGAGTACACGCTTAAGCTAAGTCCACACAGAAATGCACATACAATTGGAAAATGTTAACCCAACTACCCTTCCATATACTTCAGGGAAAGTAGGGCCCACAGTCCCCTAGCTCTGCAGATACACACAGCTCACCTATTTCCGAGACACTGAAATTAGATACAATAGGCCTATTCCCCCAGATTGCTCTCCTCTCCCTCATCGTAATAGCAGCCTCCAAGTTACAGCCAGGAATTTGAGAGTGAAAAAAACATCAGAGGGCTCAGTTCCCTCATGCTGAGACCCAGGGATGGGGCAGTGACTGGCCACAGTCACCACAAGGGATGAGCAGGCCAAGTCTAGAACCCAGGCCGCCTGACTTTAACTCTGGGCTTTCTCTCCTGCCCTCACCACTACCATCTGTCTCTCTTGTTAGAGTCTGAGTGCCTGAGGGCACAACTTAATGTGCATATGATCTCTGGTGCTTGGACATGGTGTACAGCAGATGCTCACGAAGTAGTGATGGCTAAGGGGAGTTTGGGGTGGTGGTGGCGGGGGAATCCCAAACAGAGCTTGCTCCTTCTCCCGCTTACCCAGTGCTGGCCCTGATGGGAGAACACCTAGGTCAGCAACTCTGTCATGCTATACCACTCCAGCTCAGGTCAGTTAGCACCTCTCTGAGTACAGGCCTCATGGTCCCCACTTTTTTGAGCTGCCAAGGCCAGGATGCACATTCCTTAGCATCATAACCCAGGGGTCTTCTCTTTCAGGCAGCATGCACGGGGCCGAAAGCCACCCCTTCCTGGAGCTTCCCCTCTCTAAAACACCCATCAGCTCCCAGGCAGACCTCCCCTGGCCCTGCCCTGTGGGCCACTTGGGTACACCCACCTCCCAGTATGGACAATTTAGTAGAGCTCAGCACAACCTCCACTGTCCCTTCCACCCCAGCATCACTTCCTTTGCTCTGCTAGCCTTGGTGTGAGAAGATTACAAGCCCCGTGCAGCACACAAGGTGAGAGTTAGCACCACTTCCTGGGTCAGGGGTTGACCTCTGCCCACACAGAGAAGCCGGCTCAGGCCAGAGGCTGCCTGCCTCTCTGAACACCCTTGTCCTTTCTTGCCAGGAGAAAAGATCCACAAAATGAGATGTTTCTGAGCTACCCTGTGGCCCCACCCTGTCCTATCAGTCTTGTTCCTCAGTTTTCCCAGATGAGAAGGTGCCATGCAACCGGCTAGCCCCTCAGGATCCCAACATCACCCTGTGCTTAGTCTAGAATCCTTCCTGGCTGCCCCATTCTCCCCATGCTTGTGTTCCCCATGAAGCCTGCCCTGCTGACATTACCCCTGTTACTATCCAACGCTCGTCCACAACGTCAGCCTCCTCCCCCCTCCAGTCTTCTCCCAAGACTCTGGGAACCTCCATGCCCTGGTACTGGTCCTCCTTCTCAGCCTCCTTCAAAGGGCTCTTTTCTCTCTCAATCCCTTTCCTTCTGCGTGTCTCTTGGATTCTTCTTTACCCTATATGGTCCTCGTAGGTGACATTCAAGTGATTTCCAAGACTCCCAAACCTGTATCTCCTGCTAAGATGTCCCAGAACCTCAGACGCTTCCACATGAATATCCCACAGGCACCTCAAGGTCATTGTGTCCACATCAGAATTCATCCTCCCTTCAAAATGCTCAGTCATGGCACCACCGTGCACCAGAGCCCCTCCTCCACTCCCACAAATGAACTCAGCCTACCCTGCCCCACTTCCACAGCCACCACCCTGGTCCAGCCAACCAGGACACTTCCCTGCCCACTGGTGTTGTTATTTCTAGTTTGTGCTCCTCCAACCCATCTCCACACAGTAGCTCAAGTGCTATCATTAAAAAATGCACATGGGGCAAGCTCTGGTGGCCTAATGGCAAGAAGCTGCACTGCAATCCCAGAGGTGCGCCATTCGAATCCACCAGATGCTCTGCTGGAGAAGGAGGGACAATCTCCTCCTGTACCAATCAGATCTGATTTGATGGTACACACCAAAAAATTAATTTTAAAAAATGCACATGGTTATTACATCACATACCCCTGTCTAACGCACACTGGGCCTGCAGAGCAAACTCCACCTCCTGAGCTTAGCCCCCTGGCCCTCCATGATGGGGCTGTGACCCAGCTTTTCAGCCACAATGCAGTGACTGCCGCCTGCAGGCCTCAGCTCATGCTGTCGCTTTCCTGCTCTGCTGGTCTCCCTTTGTCACCTGGCAATTACTAACCTCAAGACTCAACCTTGAACATTTCCGCAGCCTGGCCTGGCCCTCAAGCATGGCTTCAGACTCTTCAATTAGACCTGCTCTACTCTGATCATAACCTGAAATTGCTGGATGACATGTGGCCTACATAACAGAACCTGGCGGGGGTGGGAGGGTGCAAACCCAGGCTTACCTGTCTCTGTGGGCCCGTGGGATCCGATTCTCTCCGTCGAGGACGAGGTCCCGAGTACAGGGGCGAGTGGGAAGGGCTGCCGGGCGTGGGGGGCTGTGATGTCTCTGACCGGCCATCAGCCTGGCTCAGCTGGGGTGGCAGGGGCTGGGGCAACGCATGCCGTGGGTCCTCCTCGGCCAGTGTCTGCATGCCACGTCCCCGGGGCCGGACAACTGACTCGGCCCCTGGTCGCCGCCGCTCCTCACCCTCCTCAGGCAATGGCCGTAGCTCCTCAGGCTCCTCGTCTGTTGTGCCCGAGGTGCTAGGCTCAGCCCCTGGGGGGAAGTCCTTGAGCTCCGTCTCCTTGTCAATGATGACCCACTCCTTGCTGTCGAAGTCCTCCTCTTCAGCCAGTGGCACCGAGCGGAAGGCGTTGCTCAGGGCCTCCTGCTCCACGGAGGCTGACACATCCATGCGGCCGCTGGCCTGTCGGTCAGCATGGCCTGTGTCCACTGACAACATCTGGGCTGGCTGTGAGGAGCAGGCCTGGCGTGAGGGTGAGCCAGGCAGATCCATCCGTGACCTACAAAGCCAGTGCACATGGGGTCATTGCCCAGCATCTGCAGACCCCCAAGGACCCCAAGAAGGTGGCCAGGTACAGTGACACTTGGAGCTTCCTGACCACAGCACTATCATCCCCAAACACGCTGGCCAGGCCCAGTCACCTCCTAGGTTGAGTTGTACCCTTTACAGCTTCATTCTCTCAAGGCTTTTTTGCTCATTCATTCATTCAACAAACGTGTGACTGCTTACCACATTCCAGGAATGTAAACATGCAGAAAATTAAATAAAAGCTGGTCCCTGTGCCCAAGGGACACTCCCAGGAATCTAATCTCCTCAAAGCCAACTTTAACTTGCCCATCAGACTTTGCTCCAGGCCTGTCAGTGGCTCTCTCCTGCCGCACCCAGGGCAAACACATCATCTTGAGTTTTCAAGTGGTGCTTCCAATCCTTCTGCCACCACCCTCCAAGCCATCGTAGCTGGTTTCACCGTCTGCAAGCTTGGTCTTCTAAGTCCCCAGCTTAATAAACTCCAGTCACTCCTTGCCCCATGGACAAAGTCTGGATTCCTTAGTCCCAAATCCAAGGCACTTAGTGGCCTAACACCCAGTTACCCCATTCCCTTATTCATTCTCTTAAGGAGCTCTAGTGGAACAGTGATTACGCACCTAGCTTCTAACTGAAAGGTCAACAGTTCAAATCCATCAAATATGCTGTGAGAGGAAAGACTGGGTGATGTGGTCCTGTAAAGATGACAGCCTAGGAAACCTCATGGGACAGTTCTTCTCTGTCAAGCAGAGCTGCTACAAGCAGACAGCACACAACAGCTAGCCAGGCCCATCTCAGAGTCACACTCTGTTGCCCAGTTGGCTGCACACTCAACCTCTACACATGTGCTGCCTTCGCCAATGCCTTTCCTTCCATCCTTTGCTGACATTCCAGGAATGTCAGACCAGCTCAGATGTCACCTCCTGTAGGGAACTCCTATTCTGCATGGATGAGTGAGATTGCCCTCCTCAGTACTTGGTGCCCCCCCATCATGGAGCTGTGTGGCCTCCCCAGGGGAGCTGAGATGCCTTGATACCTTCTCTGTTAAGATCTTCCACTATGTTGTGAATTTCACATTATTTGCCAAGATTCTCAAGCAGAGAGAAGCGTAGGAGGCTTTCTTCTCCCAGATGCCACAATGTCCTCACTGAACACCACAGGGGTTTAACTTACCTGGAGTCTGTACCAACTCCTCACACACAAGCATGGAGCTGGGAAGTCAGAGGCTCTTCACTCCAGCTGGAGGGGTGAGGTCAGAACCACCTGAGGGACTTTCTCAGAAGACTTACACTTAGGTCTCCACAGGACCTAAATCTGACTCTACACATGACTTGTACCGATTTCATAGTAAGGCTTAAAAAAATTAAGAAAGGCACCTTTGAGAGAAGATGTCCGGAGCCTGACACCTATACTTTCTTTCCTGAGAGCAGTTTGTTTTGATGGATGCAGAGGGCGGCAAAAGCAGTGGGAGGCCTTGAAGGATGTGTTGTGTGTAGGCTGGGCCTGGGAGAGCTAAACTCTCACCCACTTTATCATTTCTCCTGCTTCCAAGTGCTCCAAAGCACCCTCACTCTTTTTGCACTGCCTATGAGGTCCTGGGGGAACCCTGGTGGCAAAGTGGATGAAACACGTGGCTGTCCGTAGCAGTTTGAACCTGCCACCAGCTCCTCAGGAGAGAGATAAGGCAGTCTTCTAGAAAGATTCACAGCTTTGGAAATTCCTATTCTACTTGTAAACTCAGTCCTCCTCTGCCTTAGAGGGTCATAATGCATTGGAATTAATGCTTAGCTGCCAACTAAAAGGTTAGAGGTTCTAATCTACCTACAGGCTACTTGGAAGAAAGGACTGGCAAATCTATTTCCAAAAATCAGCCATTGAAAACTCTATGGAACACAGTTGTACTCTGACACACACGGGGTTGACTCAATGGCAGATGTTTTGCCTTGTTTGGTTTCTGAAAAATCTCTCCTTGGTCCTATTAGTTTCCAACCTCCTTGAACTAATAGCTCACTTGAGACAAAACAAATGAGCTTATTATTCCCTAAAAGTGAGCAGTTCTTAGGATGTTCTTAGGTCCAAGGCATTTCCTGCCTCTCCTCTCTCTTCTCCAATATTCCCTACAAACTAACAACCCGTCTTCATTTCTGAGTCCAAACCCCTAGAGCTAAGGGACTCGGGAGGTGATGAAAGGTGGATGAAATATGGCCTTCAGCCTCTGAGTGTGTCAAACTGTTCTTGTGAGGGTGTGAAAAGACCCTGAGCTCCCTGAGGACAGGGCCTGGTGTAGGGGTTCTGTCTCAGGCAGCTGTCACCCTATCCCAGAGGTGAGGTACCATCCGGGGCTGAATCCAAAGCAGGGCATCAGCTGAGGGGTTCAAGGGGAGACATATCAAAATCAAACCCAGGTCAATCTAACTCTCTTCCTCCTCTTCTGGACAAACTGGGCCAGCAGCACAATCCCTTGGGCCTCAGTTTCTTCTCCTAAAGGGCTTGGTTGTCACTTTCTGCTAATTGAACTTTCTAAGATGCTTCTTATGCTGGCCATCACCTGATCTGTTAGGGTTCTGTTAGCCTCTTTTTGCTTCTTTCCCTTTCTTGCCACCTGGCCTGGTCCCTCTTGTGTCTCTGAACCTCAGTTTCTTCATCTGTAAACTGGTAACACCCCCCCATAACTCATTATAGAGGGATTGTGGTTGGTGGGTTGTAGTGGTGTGGGTTTGTTGTTTGTTTATTTTTTTTAAATAAAAGGTTGGAAAATGGGGGGGGGGGTAGAAAAACCAAACTCAAACCAAATCCACTGCCAATCACAACTCAGAGTGATCTTACAAGACACAGTAGAGATGTCCTAGGAACCTTATGGGAGGATTCTACCTCATCTTTCTCCAGTGGAATAAACTGCTCAGTTCAAACTACCCACTTCTTGTTAGCAGCCCAACACTCAAGCTATTTACTACCAGCAAGACTCCTTATGATATACCAGAAAGGTATGAGAAAGGACCTCAGGGCTGGGTCACACTCGGCTTTCCTAAAGTGACAAAAGCTCAGCCCTTATGTGATATAAAGCCCCACCTAGAGGCCAAGGGAAGGTACATTATCCATCAGGGCCAAGGTGGAATCTGACGTTGGTCCTGTTCAGCTACCCGCAACCATGGTCAACTAGCCACCCTTCTAACCTTCCTCCAGACAGTCACCCTGGTCACTGATGGAAAGATTCACCTTGGCTCTAAATTCTCCAACACTCTTTCCCTCCAAATGGGACCCTTAAACCTTGGTTTGTTTTGTCCTTCTGCCGAGCAGCGCTCTGAACAACTCTCCCAGGTTTACTCACCCAAAAGGGAGCCTAGCTCAGCTGCTCTAGAGGCATCCGGAATCACTGCCTCTTGGAAAAGGGGTTCTTGAAGCACAAGCAACCCCAATTCACCTCCGCATTCTAACCTGGGCTGGAGGACCTAGCAGGTCCCCACTGCAGCCTGGACTCTCTCACCCAATCACGCCCTACAACCTCTCTGGACCCCTATCCTCTCTCTCAGGCTTTGTCATTTGTCCCAACCAAGTTTGGCCCCAAGACCAAATGTAACACTTCTCGCCCCGCCCCCATCTGACCTGCCCTCCAGGCCAGCCGTGTGAGGGCTGAGGGAACCAAGCCGCTGGGCAGACCCACCTCCTCTCATGGAGCTCCACCCGCCCATCCGCCGTCGACAGCCTCTCCGACTCGGGGCTGTTGACCCGCCGGTAGCGCAGGGAACGGACTGGGGTTGTCGGAGAGTCTGGGGGCGCACGCACTGGGGAGCTGGGGACCCCCACACCTCGACTCTGCTCCTCTTCCACCACACAGGGGGTCTGCAGGAGAGGGGAGTACTGCAGTGAGTGGAGGCTGGCGAGGAGGGTCAAGGCGTTTTCTTCAGGGTGAAGGAGACAAAGGGAGGCAGGAGGATGATGATCCTAGAAGGCGCAAGGCCAAGGAGGTAGAAGGGACCAGCAGACAGAGGCCAGGCAAGCGGGTACACAGAGGGAGGGTGGGATCTCAAAAGTGCAGTGGGGCCAAGGGCTGGGGCGGGGGAGCCACACCCCTCTCCCTGGCTGCTGTTACTTTGCCAATGTTGATGCGGAGCTTGTTCCGGTTGACATCTGTCTCCTCCCAGACCTCAGCCTCAGGGCCCCCGGGATGGGGGGTAAGGTGGGGGCCTGGGCCCAGTCCCTCTGGGGGCCGGCCAGGCAGGATTGGGGGTGCATTTTCCTGGTCGCTCAGGTGCTCGCCCTGCAGCACGTCCTCCGTGTTCTCCCGGAGCAGGTCTCCCGGCACCGGTGTCACATTGACCACCCTGGAGAGGCCAGGAGGGAGAAGACAAGATTGGCAGGGGGTCCTCTTCTTCTCAAGGCCCCCCCGCCCCAGGACAGGCATTGGAAATGCCCTGTCACTCATTATAGGAGACCCAGAGGGGGCTGAGCAAGGACAGGGGCATCCCTGAGCCCATCACCACCCCAGCTCACAAAGCCCTGAGACCAACCCAGCCCTGACTGTCAGGAGCCAAGGGGAGATGTTTGCTTCCGAGCGGCCACCCCCCATCCCCCAGTCCTATTGACACAGGACATCCTGCCCATTGACAATTTTCTACTGCAGTTGACGCCTGACGTACACAGTAGATCCAGAAATGACCCTGAAGAGAAGCACTCTGCAGTTTCCGGGGCTGTATCTTCACAGAATTGGGCATCAAAAACATGCTGTGCAGCCCAAGCAAAATGGATTGCACATATGATGGAATATCACTGTTGTGGAGTACTGTCGAGTCAGTGTCAACTCACAGCCCCCCCCTCCCGTGGGGTACAACAGAATGGCCCCACTGGGTTTTCCGGGCCGTAATCTTCACAGGACTCACGAGGTCTCTCTCTCATGGAGCCTGTGAGTGGGTCTGAACTCTTGTTGTTGTTGTTAGGTGCGGTCAAGTTGAGTACGACTCATAGTGATGCCATGAACAGCCATTCTGACCCCTGCCCCATCCTGTGTGCTGTCCTCATCATCACTGAGACACTAGGGCCCATTGCTGCAGTCACAGTGTCAGTATGTCTTGTTGGGGGTCTTCCTCTCCTTCGCTGACCCTCCATCTTTCCAAGTATGATGTGCCTTTCCAAGGGACAGCCTCGCCTAGCTCTGGGTCCAAAGTATGAAAGATAAACCTTGGTCATCTTTTATTTACCGGCCAAGTGCTTACCCACCGCACCACCACAGCTCCTAACAGAATATTACTAGAAAAACCAACCCCAGTGCCAAGCAGTTGATTCTGACACAGCTACACTACAGGGCAGAGGGAAGCGGCCCCACAGGGCTGCAGTCCTAACAGAAGAGACTGCCTCATCTTTCTCCCACAGAGCAGCTGGTGAGTTCAAACTGCTGACCTTTAAGTTAGCAGTCACATGCCGAATCACTGCACCTCCAGGGCTCTATGCTGCACACCATCATTGCTGTTGTGTGACGTCAAGTCAGAATCAATCCTCAGCGGACCCTTCAGCAGCTTTTCACAGGCAGTCAATCTCAAGGAGGGAAATTGCCTTTCTCCTGAAGAGCGGCTGGTGGATTCGAACCCTGCGCATTTGTGTTGACAGTGCAATTCCTTACCACTAAGCCACCAGAGCTCCCTCATTGCACACCAGAATGGACATAACTAATGTTACTAAATTACATAATAAAAATGTTGAAACGGCAAGTATTTTGTCATATTTCTTTTGCCATCAAAAGAAAAGTTTGAAAACCTAGAAAACATATGTGCTGGGACATCCTGCTGGGTCTCTTTCCTTCCTTAATGTGTTCCCTGGAGGTCCAGGTACCTCTCTTCAGGCTTACTCTCGGGGCTCAGGGGGACCCTCTTTGCACTCTGCCCCACCTTGGGCCACCTCTCTCTTTGGCAGACACAGAAGTGACCCAGACATTTCAAATACCTGGATTCAACTGAATGCACTTTGTGGCAGGGGCTGTGGCTTTTCTGTGCCCCGTGTGCTTGACATATGGCAGGAGAGCAAGATGTGCTCTCTAAGTGAATGACTACAAACGATGAGAAACAGAAAAACTGTGGGGCACGGGCAATTTTCTCAGGATTCCCTGCTCCCCAGGAGACCTGCTGTTACGTGTCATGGAACTGATTCATAGCTGCCTCTCCAGAGGGTTTTCAGAGGCTCTAAATCACACAAGAGGAAATTGCCTAGCTTTCCTCATGGAGCAACTGGTGGATTCAAACTCCTACCTTGAAAGGCAGCACAACGCCTTACCATTAAACCACCAGACGCCCCTCAGGAGAGCTGTTGTTGTTGCTGGGTGCCGCTGAGTCAAATATGACTCACAGTAACCCTAGAACAACAGACTGGAACCCTGCCCTATCCTGTGCCATCCTCACAATCTCTGACACAATTGAGCCCAGTCACTGTGTCAATCCTTCTTGTTGGGGGGGTCTTTCCTTTGTCGACCATCCATCTTTCCAAGCGTGATGTCTTTCTCTGAGGAATAGCCTCGCCTAGCAACATGTCCAAAGGATGAGGACAAAGTGTGATCAAAAACTGCACAGGAGGCCACCCATTCTGCTCCAGATCAAGGGTGGAGATGCAGCAGAGCCTTCTGAAGTTTAAGAGCCTCAGTGCTGAGCACCAAGCATGGGAGAGATGACCACATCTGTCCCGTGGTCCAGGCAGGAAGAGGAGGGAGGGCTGGCTTCTCACAATAATGAGCCGGCTGCCCCCTGGTTATCCTTCCAGCCAGAGACTCACCCAAACATGGCTGCCGTCTGCCGCGTGTTCTGCTGGGGCGGGGTGGAGGTGCTAGTGGAGAGGAGGGCATCAGTGCCCGCCTTCTCCCAGTCAAAGGCCTCATTCTCCGCAATGCCCCGCTCCTTCATGCTGTTCTCAAACACCGACATGATCAACTGTGGGGAGGGGGTGGAGGGAGGACAGAAAGGTGACCCCAGGGCTAGCCAGGAGGAAAGGGCAGTTGCTGGGATTGGAGAGGGACCTTCCAGGATAGGAGTGGGCCTGGGGGGGTATTGAAAGAAGGGTACATTGATTGAAAATTAAAACATGCACAGAACATACAAATCAGCATGCAAATGATCATCTCCATTTAAGTCTCACTGGCTAGACCCAAGCCCTCAAGAGGTCTCAGATTAGCATTTCAGCTTCCTATTTCATTCTCACCAGCTCAGCATAAGAATTAGCGTCTTAAAGCACTAGGTAGTTTCCCAGACCCATCTCATAGGCTGCCTCTTCTGCTTGGAATGCCTTCCCACTTTGTCCTATCCTCTCTGAAGCTTTGCCTGGCTCCCCAACTCCCCAAGCTCACCCCTCCAAGGCCCCCTTCTACACGACACTGTCATTGGACATAGTGACTAGGTTTGAATGGTTGACATGCTTGTCTGCCAACCCTGTATCTCTAGCAGTCAGCACAAGCTGTAGTCAGAGCTCTGTGACTGGGGGGCAGGGGGCCCACAAGTCTGTGTGAAGATGTGAGCCAAGTGTCCTCCTGCCTGAGGCATCCCTCCCAGCACCAGGGCTCTGGTGCTTTCAGGAAGAGATGGGTCTCAGAGGTCCTCGGATGGGTACCCTCCTATCTTTCTCTAGAACACAGGGCGGGTCTTCCCGGCTGCTGGAAAGGAAGTGCCTTGAGTGCCTACTACATGCTGACACTGTTGTGCTCCACACAGTGTGCAGCTCCATCCCAGGCACATAGTAGGCCCTTTTCAGGGCATTGTTGAAGTCTCACCCATTCTCCAATCAGAGACAGTGGGTCCCAGAGCGATGTGGGGGTAGTATCTTTGAAAGTGCTCGACTTCGAACAGAATCTGTGTCTGAGTCTCACCTCGCTCCTATCATACTGGGCCTCAGTTTCCTCATCTATGAAATGGGACAGTCATCCCACTTGGCCTCCTGCAAGGTTTTAGTGTAAAGGACTTTTGAAAGTGTTTGGCTCTCTTCATCGTTAAGTGCTGGAATAATAATGTTAAGTCACACTCTCGTTGTCACCAAAGGCTTATTATTTTCAGGCTCAAATGGGTTCATGCACGGAAAGTACTGGGAATGGGGCCTGATACACAGGAAACTCTGGATAAACTGTACTAAAGCCACGGTTTAGAAGAGTGAGAAAGAGTTTCATGCAGATGCTCAGGGGCACGCCGGCCAGGGCACAGCCTCAGCGGGAGTGGGTACTGCTGGAGGGGCAGGCAGGGGCACGGTGGCAACTGGCAGGTGCCCACCTGGTAATCAGGCTTGGTGAAGTAGTCAAGGCTGGCGATGTGATCCAGGAAGAGGTGGAACTCGGAAGGCATGTGTTTCAGCAGCATCCGGTGCTCGTACTTCTCCTTGATCATCCCCACCTGCTCCTGGAGGCAGATGGGCACAGAGAAATGGACCCCCAGTCACATACTACAGCCCTTCACTCCTCAGACCCAGCTTCCCAGGACTCACTTTGTCTTTGATCTTCCTCCAGGGCAGCTGACCCACTGCAAACTCCACCAGCATGTAGAAGAGGGACCACAGGTCATCATGGCGGCCCATCTCCTGTGGACGGCAAGGGGAGGGGTCACTCACAGCTCTCAGCTCTTTCCCTGGGAATGGGGGCTGGCCTTTTACTGGAGGCATCTTTCAGGGAAGCCTGAGGCCTTCATCTCTATGGGTAGAACTAGGGTCTCCCTGAGACTATGTCTCCATCCTCAACTCCTCAACTCACACCGGTACTCAGAGTTCAAATCCTTTATGCATTCTCACCCCATAGTGACCAGTGATGGGGACAGAGAGGCTGGGGTCTCAGAATAAAAGGGTGGTGAAGTTAGGGGAAGCCACCAGTGGAGGATTCTTCCAACCCCAAGGGAGGGCTTGTTCCATCCCCACCCCACACTTCTTTTCCTACCTTGACATCAGTCAGCTACCCACTCTCCTTGTCCCCAAAAGCATACTTAGCCCCTGGCCTGCACCCATCCTGTCCCTCCATCCCTTGGTCTGGATTCTGCCACTCACCCGGTTCTTGTGGGCATTGACTGAGGCATAACGAACAGTCCCTCGAAACCCAGCCACATTCCGAGGCTGCAGAGGAGAGAGTAGCAGGAACCTCACCCATTGCATCCCCAGCCCTGGCCGCAGCCACCACCCAGCCCTGCTTACGAAGCCTGACACTTCCTACTCTGATCCTGACCCAACCCCACCCTCAACATGTTGGCCTCTTTAGGTTAAACCTGATACCCCAACCTTGCAACTCACGCCTTCTTCTACCTCCCATCATTAAACTAAATTCCCTGCCCCAACACTTGTCTTTGGCCAGAGTGAACAGGAAGATCACAGGATGTGGCTGGGGCATCCACCAAGTGCCCAGGCTAAGGGTGAGTGGAGACAGGCTACGTGGTGACTCCAGATTTAGACGGAGTTGATGCTGAACACAAGGCCACGTCTGCTTAGGCGGCTGCAGGAAAAGTTGGTAGAGGGGGACCTTCTGTGAACGGTCTCACATTGGGAACTGGGACGGGGAGTTACCCACTGTCCTGACAGCTTTGAGCACAGAGACCCAAGATTCCCGAGGTGGGTACTCACAGGCCGGACATCCCCCGTGGTGTTGGTGTACTGCCGGGCCAGCCCGAAGTCCAGCATATAGCACTTCCTGTAGGTGGAGGGCAGCCTGCCCATGGCAAAGTTTGACTGGGGAAGATAGTAGCTGTGAGCTCTGGGGCTCTAACCCCTCCGGGGTCTTCCAAGGGAAACAGCTTAGCAACTGGGGTGAAGGGAACTCACCCCACATGCATTCACACAAACCTCAGGCATCAGTGTTCACACACTCAGGTTGGGTTATGGTTTACGAAGCTCGAGTTATCCCATCTGAGGGGCAGGTGTGATTATCCTCAATTTAGGTAAGAGCACACTGGAGGTCAAAAAGGCTAGGGACTTCTCCAAGATCATACAGCAAGTGAGGACCAGCTGGGGCTTGAGCCTGGGTTTCTCCAGCTCTAAGTACATGGGACGCTCCAGCAGGGCAGTGCAGTTTAGTTGTACCTAGCCTGCTCTAAGACAGCCAGAGAGAACTGGGGATTCCTTTTGTGTGACCTTGAGCAATTCAACTAAACTCTTGAGGCCTTAATTTTTACTTCTGTAAAGTTCGAAATAGCCATAAAACCAGCTCCTTGGATGCCTGTTGTTATTATATACCAGGTAGTTCGAACCGACCCTTAGCTGACCCTCCAGCAGGTTTCCAGAGAAAGTTAATCACACAGGAGGAGACTGTCTGCCTTTCTCCCACAGATCACCTAGTGGATTTGAACCATGTACCTTTGGGTTGCCAGTGCAGCTCCTTACCACTAGGCCACCACAGCTCCCTAAGGAACACCTTAGGACCCTTAGTTTTCTAGGTTCAAGGTCAGGGATGAGGCAGAAAGGAGAACAGAAGAGAGGACATGGACACAGCAAGGAAAGGGCAGGTTGTGTACTCCTTAAAGGCCAGAGAGAGGAGCTGGAGCTCAGGAGAGAGAGTAGAAGGTGGGAAACAGATAGGAAATGCTCCTTCAGCTCCACTGTTGTCCTAGAGAAGGAACAGGGGCTCAGAGAGAGAGAAGGGATGGAATGCTTTGCAGGAGGGAACAGAGGGCGGACAGGCCATGGTGCTCACCGGCTTGATGTCCCGGTGCAGGAAGCCCACAGAATGGATGGCCTCAATGGACTCCAGGATCTGTTTGCCCAGCCGCAGCGTGGTGCTCAGCGTGAAGGTGCCTCGAGGCTGGCTGCGGCGCAGGTCGGCCAGGTTCCGGCCCTACGAGGTGGGGACAGGCCTGCCTCAGTGGCCAGCCCACCCACCACCACCAGAACCTGTCTAAGATTGGCTTCTCATTCCTGACAGAGCCCCGGTCTCCCTTTTCTCTCCCCATCCCACATGCTCAGGAGAAAGGACGGGCCCCAAGAACTCACCTGCAGCTGCATCACAACGTAGTTGAACTTCTCATTCCTGCCACAGCCAATGAACCTGCACACGTGATCTTTCCCTGAGGGACAGACACAGACAAGGCTCTCCCAACTCCAGTTCTCTCCCCATTTCCAAGCCTTTGGTGGAATCCTGGTGCCTCCTTGGTTCCTCTCTGTCCTGGCCATGTGATCAGCTAGTCTCATCATCTCCCCCTGTCCCATCCTCTCTGACACCACTGCTTCCTCAAACCATGATCTAAACCTCCCCCTCAGCTCCTGGCGCTGTCACCTCTTCCCTTTACCACTCTGCATCTCCACCCTCTATTTTCTTATCCCATCACCTCTCATTCCCTCCCCGCCCACACCTTGCAGCTTCTTGAGCACAGCCACCTCCATCTTGAGGACCTGCTTGGGCTGCTGGGCTGACTCCACCTTGAGGGCCACATTCTCCCTGGTCAGCAGGTCCATGGCCTCGTAGATCTCACCAAAGCCCCCGCCCCCGATCTTCTTCAGCTACAGAGATAGGGGTTGGAGAGGACAGGGACCAGGCTGAGCATTCCACCCATGATGGATCTCCTCCTTCCTCAGGCGGGGAAGGGGAGCTCCTTAAAGTGGAAGATCCATCTCTCTTTCTCCTCCCCATCCCTGCTCCTACTCCCTCTCCTTAGGTATACAGTCATCCTTGGGACAAAAACACAGAAACACACAGCTGCAGGCACACACACACACACACACACACACACACACACACACACACACAACACAGGATGTTGGAGTGGGCTGTGTGAAAGAGGATGACGCCCGTGACTCCAAACTGACATAGAGAGAAGCTTCTGCAGGATTCTAAGGAAATAAGAGGACTACCTTGAACAACCAGAACCACCCCCACATATCCTGACAACCTCCAACCAGAAGGAAATAAATTTCTAGGACATCTCAGCATCACTGTAGGTCCCCCAGGGAAGCTGCCTCTTCCTGATGTTGGCAGTTTCCTGAACGATGTCACCACAGAAGGGGAGAAGTTAAGGAGAGAAATGGAAGAGGGCTCAGCAAATGGTGGAAGCTCACCACTCCACTGCGGATGCTCACACCACCCCAGAGGCTCACACCACCCCACTATGAATGTTCACACGACTCCACAGGCTCACACCACTCCACAGGCTCACACCACTCCACTATGAATGTTCACACCACCCCAAAGGCTCACAACACTCCACTGTGGATGTTCCCACCACTCCACAGGCTCACACCACTCCACTGTGAATGTTCACACCACCCCACTGTGGATGTTCCCACCACCCCAAAGGCTCACACCACTCCACTGTGGATGTTCCCACCAC